CAGCCTGGTTATAACATAAATAGCCTACGTTATCTCCAATGATTTACGATTTATGCATATGTGTTTGTATTATATATAAACTCGCGTACACAACAAAATTTCTCGACATTAAAATGTGAAAGCGATGAAGTTTGTCTCTGCCGTACCTACGTATAATATTTGCGCGTGCGCGTAATCGCGCGCTTTGACTCGCTGAATGAAATGCATCAAGTACATTATAGATATTTACATTATATAGACGGATTAATTTTATACACGCACGAAAGTATGTGCGTGGCATCACGAAAGCTCGAGAAATACACTTTGATAAATTACCGAAATGCACTTTTCGAACGATCGAGTACAGACTCATGTGCGCGCGCGGCTGTTTATATGGACTCTCTTTCTCTCTCTCTCCGTTGCAGTCATAACGAACGTGCTAGATCGCAGAAACTCTTCGACTGCCGGTGCTAAAAAGCTCGTACGAATCCGTTCTCTCTCTCTCTCTCTCTCTCGCAAATATTTGCCGACTGAAAATGCTTTGAAGTACTTCTTTTTTTTTTAACCCCGCCCTGCACAGTACTCCCCCTCATCGACCGCATTAAATTCTAAATGAAAAGAGAAAATAGGAGAGCAAAAAAAAATAATGGAAGGAAAAAGCGCGGAACGTTAATATCGCGAATGCGAGCAGCGGAATTGATGCAGGGAAAAAAAGAGAGACGACGAAGAGAGAACAAAGCTCGTGAATAATACGGTTTTCCATGCATTATGCGTCAGTGCAGGCGCGCGTGCAGGAGGCTGCTATATAATAATAATTCAGTGCATCGCGTCGGTAAGTTAGGTCACGCACGAGGTACACAGCGTATTATAATACACACATACGCACGCACACCAACACACGGAGCAAAGTCGCAAAGTGAGAGCAGCTGATACATAGCGTGAACCCGACTGTCATCCGCAGAATATACAGGCACCGGGGTAGGGGATACGCACACATACACACATACTCTCTCTTTCTGGCCGCTAGTTTGGTAAAAGAGCTGGACGAGTCTCGCGCTCATATTATATACATATTTACGGCCATATAGCCATTTCGACAAAGAGAGCTAAAAAGGAAGAGAAACAGAGATAGATTAAAAAGAAATAAAGGAAAAAATGTGCCAGTGTGAATGGTATATTTGCATGGACTTAGTTGTGTGAATTATGCATAATATATTTAGGAGCGAAGGCGTCTCTTTCTCCTGCGCTCATCCTTGTTTCGTCGTCGATCGTCATCAGCATCAGCAGCGGCAGCATCGTAATTTGCCCATATACTATACAGCGCGAAACTCTCGCATTTGCGAACCTTCCTTTTTTTTTTGTGTTACCCCCCTGTCCGCGCGCGCGGGGGCCCCCTCTCACGCAGCGGCGCTCCTCGCCGAGAGCTCGCCTCACTCTCACACTCGGGCCCAGGCAGGCATATACCGCCACAGCACTCACTCTCGCTTTATAATACTTCTCACTCTCGCGGCGCGGACTACTACTCCGCACCGTCACTCTCTCTTCTTTTCTCTTGGCATATTGTGTATGTGTGTATACATATATCCCCGTCGTGCTTCTCTCTCTCTCTCTCGCGAGGTTTGCGCGAAGTTCTGTCTGTCTCTCTCTCTCTCTCTCTCTCTTTCACTCTCGCTGCTCTCCTGCGCTGTGTGTGCCTGCTCTTTTCGCTCGCGCGAGGAAGATGAAATTCAGTTATCGATAAGCATGTCGCCCGACCAAGACCACCTTCTGACCAAGCAGCTATACTACTGGCTGCAAGCTTATAGCGAGTCGTACAAGGACATTTACTGCTCCGATACTACTAGTAGTGTCTTCGAAAACATGAGGCAACAACTGGCCGGTGAGTCAACCACAAACGATCGTACTTTACGCATACATACTGACAGACGAATAGACAGACAAATACCATACCACGATCCACATCCTTTTCGCTACTCTTCACTTTTCTAAATCCCCTCGCGTGTAACTCTGCTTCTCTCGCGTTGTAATAAATTTGTTATTTATTGCTTCTGCTACGTGCCTCTTTTTTTCCACTCCTCGATGCTGCACTCGTATATCGACGAACGACTTTGCATAATGCTCACTTATAAATATATGCATGCGTCGTTCTCGCATGCGTACCTCTACATATGTCAATAATACATAAACACAAGCCTTTGAGCCGTCGTATAGTGCTTGCAACAGCAGCAGCAGTAGCAGCGGCTCTTCTTCTTCTACTTCTGCTTTTCGCAGACGACACACAGCTCGGCCTGTGCGACTCTCTTGGTCTATGCATATATTGAGTTCGTTGGTCAAGGTCGCTATTTTCTTAGGTCCGTCGTCGTCGTCGTCGCCCAAACGCATGCACACACACACACGGACTCACACAGTCCGTCGACACAGCTGTTCAACTTCTTGACGATCTTTTCCGATCTTTCTCCGCCACACACTCTCGCTTGCAGCTCTGGTTGCGCGACTTCATATTCTATATATACATATACGTGCGAGTGAGTGCATGTACGCGAAAATGTGAGTGTGTGTGTCTACATGTGTGCGTGCGCGCGTATACGCCGAGTGTATACTTATACGCGTATACGAGTGCAATATGCAGGCGCGCATGTACTTGTGTATGTGCGGCGCTTACACGTAAAGAAAAATTCATGCCCGCTTACACACGCACACTGGCGCGCACGTACTTATGAGAAGCAGCGCGCGGCAGAGTTTCGCTCGATAGCGTTTTGCTCGATAGCTGCTTGCACTTTTTTTCTGCGCTCTCGCTCTCTTTCGCTCTCGGGGCTCTTGGTTCGTTTTCGAATTCTTTTCGGAGACGTTTGTGTATATATATAACGTTTGTGTGAGTGTGCGCGCAACTCTTGGTATGCGGATAAAAAAAAAAGTGGACATACTTGCAGAGGTAGAAGAAGTTGTTGTTTGCATCGTTGATCTCTCGCTGTCTCTCTTTCTTTTACCTTCGTTGGCTGTTGCCGTGATACATCTTTTTATTCTCAACGATTTTGGGACTTCTGCTGATTTTTTTCTTTTGCAAAAAAACCAGGAGAGACAGAAAATATTTAAAAAAAAAAGACTGACTCTCTCGAGGTCGTCGTGCCTACTCGTGTACTTCCGTTGGCCTACTTGCATCCTTTGTACGTGTGCTCGTGACGATGACGATGATGTGCACGAACGTATAACATAAAACGTATAGAATATGTCTATATACACAGCGAATCCTAATCGAAATCGATCCACCAGTGCGATGTGAATTTTAGTATTTAAAAAGACTGTGGGAGGGCCGATATAAGAGAGAGAAAAAAAAATTGATTTTTGCGAGAGATTCGCGTGTAAGATATTGTACGCGCGCAAAAAGTAGGCCAAAAGGTTTTCCCGCAAGGGCCGTGTACGCCGGCGAGTGTTTCGTGCACACACACACACACACACACTAAAAAAAAAGACTCGAGTTTGCCATAGAGTTTGAAGTTGAATTTTTCTGCTTCCTTTTTGTTGTTGCTCTCTTTCCGTGCGAACTTGCACACGCATGCGGGTACACGTTGATGTTGCTCAAAAAAATGTCAACAAAAATAAAAACGCAAAGTTTAGCGCTTTAAATCGCAAAAGGAGAAAAAGTGGAACAGATTATATGACACAGGAATTTTCTCAATAACTTTCTTTCTCGATATGACGTACGTCGCTCGCGTTGATGTTGGGACTCGACGCCGCCGCCGCCACCACCACTTCCATCTCCGTCGCATTGCCGGTGGGATGGGGGGGAGGGCAGAGCTTGGCGTAACATTAAAATTCATTGACTTACACATGCGGCTAAAGAAAGTAAAAACATTCGCCTCGGGGCACACATAGCGGAGCTGTGCGTATGTGCGTGTGTGTATGTGTCAGAACGATACTTGTGCGAGAACGAAATGAGAGAGTGAAGTTTAGTATGCACTTTTTTTTGTACATAACGTACTGAGCATTTAAAAACATGAATTTATTCGCTCGCAGTATTAAACGTATCTTCCTGTTGGCGAATATTTCTTTACAACCTCTCGTGTACATATGCAAAACTATTCCTATATTTCAATTATGTATCAGCCATAGGATAACCTTTTTAGATGTTTTTTATGTTTGCACAAACATCGCGAATTTGTGCGTGGGATTTTTGGCTTTAAATGCGGGCACACACATTCGAAAGTACAAGTGACGCGCGCTTGCAACGGATATACAAATATTGCGTAAAAAGTTTTTTTTTTTTTTTTTTTTTGAATATCCGATTTCTTCGGACACACCTCGTGCGTATTCGCGACGCGACTAGCTTTTGTTTTCATTTCTTTTTTTTTTCGCACAATTCACGCGCATTGCGAAATACGTATTCCGGACACTTACTTTCTTTAGAAAAAAAATATATATCAATACATCTAAATAACTTTCTTTTTTTTCACAATTTTTTTCTTCAACGTATATCATGCGTATGGTTTTTCTTATTATTTTCGTAAGAGACATCGCAGCTGTAGGGAGACACAATGAGAAAAATTGACAAACTTCTCGAGGGGGCAATGGTATAATAACGCTCAAATGAATGAGATTAGAATTGCTCAATCGATTTTTTTTCTTTTTTTACTTCGATCACAAATCCGAAGGTTCTTGAATTTATACGAGCTCATTAGTAATCCACGAGCTGCGTTTGCCCAATTCGATATTTTCTGTAATAAAAAAGCGTAACGCCGTAGCGCGTGTATCGTTACACGCGTGTGATTTTAAAAAATGATTTGCCGAGCGGTGAATGAAATAATTAGATTTCAAAATCCAATCTGTTGCGTCAGCGGCCAGCAGCAGCAGCAGCCCTCCTTCTTGAAATCGGTCAATAGTCCGACCATATATCGATACATTGCATGGCGATACTACCACATGTCAAATGGTATTTTATGGTGTTGGGTCTGAGAAATTCCTATTTACTTTCTACTTTTCCATGAACACATCGTAACGACGACATTTTTTTTTTTGCATTTTAGATAGCAATATAGTCTTTAAAAAGATGCGTCGGTTTCTTACAGGCGATGGAACCTATCATCTCAAAGTGCTCGTGCCGGGAGTCGCTGCTGGCGCGATCATCGGCAAGGGTGGCGAAACCATTGCCCAATTACAGAAAGACACCGGAGCGAGAGTCAAAATGTCCAAGTCACACGACTTTTATCCAGGTAAGAACGGAATTTTCATTGTGAAAACTGCCGCGGCGGAAAGTAAACAAAAACACGTGTAAAAGCGCGCGCGAATGCATTTCAATGCGACTGTAGAACTTGATAGTATAATGTGATTCCCAGCAGCGTGTGTTGTTTCGCGCTCGGGGAACGCGCGCGCATAGTACATTCGTTGCAAACAGCAGAAAACTGACGTAATTTCATCCGTTCGCGGCCTTGGAGGCCCGTCATTTTCTAGTCCGCGCCCGCGACCTTACATAATCTCTCTCACTCGCACGCAATTAATGCATCAGCGCCGCGTGCGCATGAGAGAGCCGTTTGCCATTGTTATAAGCACATGTGTGTGCTTTTCTGTTTGTGTGTGTATGTGCTGCGCTCAGCTGCAGACACGCACAATAGACACACACACACGTGTGCACATTATATTATAGTTTGCGCGCGCGATCAAAGCTTATTTTTACCGATGACTAATAGACTCTGGACGTTTTCTTTTGTGTTTTCCGCTACGACTATGCAGGAACGACCGAACGAGTGTGTCTCATTACTGGCAACGTAGAAGCTATAATGTCCGTCATGGAGTTCATAATGGAGAAGATACGAGAGAAGCCCGATTTAACCACAAAAACTTCCGTCGACTTCGAATCCGGCAAAGCAACGGCTGAGAGAGATAAGCAGGTAACGTATTTAACATATTATAAATGTGATTGATGCGACGAATGATGAAAAAAAAAAAAGAGAAAAAAATCGATACACGATTTGTATTAGCCAGCGTCAGCTTACCGAGCCATAAAGCAAAATACTTCGGACTCCGATTCGACGCGAAAATAGTATTAGCAATGATTTCTAACGCATAGTCGTACATCAAGCCGCCTCGAGACGAGGAATTATCCATTTGAGCGCAGATATTCGTGGAACGTATTTACGCATACTTCGCGATTAGCATTACGCACACACATACAAATCTATATAATGGCCAAATGTTGTTGCCGAAAGCTTGCTGAACTGCTGTTTTTTTTCGTATATTTTGCGCAAATCGCATCGGTCTCGATGTCATTATATCGCGCGAGCGTATTTGTAATTTTATGTAATCGATGCAACACGCGTTTTAATTTTATGTAATCGTATACGCTCGCCGCGAGTTAGTACACACGCGCGCGGGCTTAGAAGAAAGAGAGCTAAAATGAAGAAATTACGCGCGCCAAGAAGTTTTGCGCAAAGGCAAGGCGACTACGGCATACCGATCCCTATCCACTGTATACCGATCGGTAACGCGATCGGTATCGCACTATACTCGGTATTTTTCATTATAATCTTATGCATTAGGTACGACGAGAGCCCGAGTGGAGGAAACGTCGAGGCAAAATTTTTCCGACTAAAATCGCCGACCGATCGGCCGAATATTATTCAGAGTGCCGGACTGCCGTGTGTTGTGTGTGCTCTGCGCTGCGCTCGAACTAGATCAAAAACACAGCACAACTATAATATACGCAGATAGATATTGGAGCCGTTGCTACACACAAGCGCACACACATATTCACTCGATGTGCATATAGACTTATAGACGATCTCTCTAAAATTACTCGCTTCACGCTCGCAACACGGCCGGCGTGCATTTCTCGCTCTCTTTATTTGAGAGCGTTTTCCGTTCCTTGGGTGGATCAGTTTTCGTTATTTATTACGTTGTCGTCGTGCAGCAGCGGCGGCGCGTTGCTATTGCTTTAATACCTCGGGCGCGAAGAAGGCGTGCGTAGCGATTCGATCTCAGCATGGACGTTTAGCAAAAGCACGGGGCACGTCACGATTGGAGTAGGAAGAAAAAAGAAAACATCTTTGAACAATTAGCGATCGAATTGACGATGTATATAAACTTCGGAGTAAGTTGGGCTTGTGTGTATAAATTTGCCTGGCACTCAACTAAGGATAACATCCTCTTTAAAGCGCCGGAGCTTGCACGTAAAAATCGCGCGCGCTATCTCTCCTTCTCATTGTGCCAAGCGGTGTAGTAGTAGTATAATACACTCGTGCTCTCGTATATTAATGCACGCATGCCCACGTGGTTTGTATACACATTCTATATGCAGTTGCGCAGTGCTCGTCTACAATTTCATAGTTATGTGTTTGTACGGATCCCTACGCGTGTAACTGTAATGTCACACTTGAGAGAGCTTGCTGCCTGATGCACTCAACATTAGTCGTATAGTCGTGGTCGTCTCTTTCTCTCTCTCTACGCTACATGTGTAATAATAAAAGTCATGGCAATCCAAAGCTCTCCTCTATCTTTCCCTTGTCGCTTATAATATACATACAGAGAGCTATATGCTGCGCGCGCGCGACACGAACAAACTAGAGTCGATTTAATGCAGCAGTAGCAGCAGCAGCAGCAGCAGTGGCGGTGGTGTGGCGGTGTAGTGAACGAACGAACGAACGGACGAACGATGCATATACGGCCGGGGTCTTGTTAGCAATGACCTAGTTAGGAGCTGCGGCTCTGACACCGCCGCCGCCGCCGCCACTGGTGGTGCTGCTGCTGCAGTAGCTGTAGCTACTACTACGCGAGCTTAGCCTCTGCGCGCGCGCGCGCGCACACACACAGTTTCTGTGTGTCAATGTGTGCGCGCGTATGGCTATACGAATCGCTTATAATAATGACATAAAATACATATGGACGTTGCGTATGCATTTCTGCTGATACTTTTGCCTCGAGACCTCTGCAATATGCACGAGCCGCAGCTAGTCTAGCTCGAGCGCATAACTATGCAAAGAATCGCGTTACTTTTATGCACGCAAGCACACACACACACACACACACACACACACACACACACACAGACGACGCTGTGTGTGCAGGCGAGGTCTGTACCAATTCACGATCGACATTGATCGCGAGCTGCGGTAGCTTTTATTTCTTGCTACCGCGAGTTTTATTTGGCACACACAGCAGCAACGTGAGGCAGCAAAAGCGCGCGAGGGGGCTCCAAACGAAACTAAGAGGCAAAAAAAATGTGGGTGTAATAAATAAACAGTATACATATACAACGGGGCAAAGAGCCGCGACGACGGCGGCGGCGGCGATTGCGCGAAAGATGACGAAGAAGTAGAAGGAGAAGCGTCAAATTGAAGAAGCCCTCTCATTGCCAATATCGCTTTCGCGCGCGCACGCCTCGACTTTATAAAACGCAGAGCCACGCGCCACTGCGACGACGAGGCGAAAAGCTCTTCGTTTCTGCACGAATTATACATAGCGTCTCTCGGCAATGGTGTGTGTGTGTATTCATGCCTATGCGCGTAAAGCTGCATTTGATCCGTCAGGGACTTTCTTGCATACATATATAGCGACACGCATGCACACACTGCACCGCGGGCCGTGCAGAGCCGAGTCGCGCCACTTATGTGTTGGCACTCGGCGCGGCGATGTGTGCGAGTGTGATTTAATTGCCGAAGCCCCGCGCGCTTGCGAGAGAGGCGTCGTCGTTATATTCTCTCTTTACTCGCGCGCTCGCACACACATTGACTAAGCTAACGGCTATAACTGCGCGTAGTTTTATTTTTAAATCGCGTGAGCTTTATCGCCGCGCTCGAATACATATCACACCGACTCTAGAGAGAGAGAGAGAGAGAGACGCGCCGAGCTCGGCTCTCAACGTGTTCGACTATATTTATTGTATATGTTTTATATACGCACGCGTATACTATTGTCGCGCGTGTGCTAACTAGGGTTCTTTCCTCTTTTTCATTCACTCGCGTGCGCGCCCCCGCAACAGCAGCATATGTACGTTGTACCCGCCACGATATAACAATCGAGCGACTCTATACATCCTATTGACAGACACGCTTATTGTTTATACATTATAAATACGCTTCGTTCGTTCTTTCGTTCGCGGGACGCGCGTTATCCCTTCATCGTCGCGTCGAAACCTGTGTGTGTGTATACGCCGGCGATGATCGATTTTTTTCCGGCGATTTTTCAAATTTTGTTCCCGCTCGTCCGAGCTTTTTCGTGTAACTCTTTTTTTATCTCGAACGCTCGATGAACCCTCGAAACGAGCGACGTATATCGATCAATCAAAAATAGGAAATGTCAGCAGCAGCGATGCTCGCGCGGTATACGGGCACAAAAAACACTGTAGCAACAATTTTTAACGATCTTGTTTGTGTGCATACACGACCGAGAGTTCAATTTTGCGAGGGGGTAAAGTGCAATTAGTTGCAGTAGGCATCGTGTAATCAAAGCACGCGACTATCCGTCAAAACTATAAGCACGTTGTACGTCCACGTGGGGAATTTATCTTCAATCTCTTGTGACTTGAAAACACGATGAGTAGCTTCGCGTGTAAACTTCATTGATAGCTGTCGATTGGAACTCGCTGGTAGCTTTGGATCGCGTTGTTATAATTATTGCGAAATCGACATCGACCGGAGCGATATGAAATATTATTAGCTCGCAGACTTGCATCGTTAAAATTCGCATTTGCAACTTTATTTTTTGTGTGCAATTGCTCCACTGCACTCGTGCTCGAGCATGCGTGTACAAAGATTTTTCGAATTATATAAAAGGAAATGAAAACATTCTTTCAACTATGCTCTACGGCCGAGCACGCACGCGAGAATCGCATCTATTTTTCTATTTGGCAGTCGGCCCGGGAAAACTTCAATGCCAACATTCTTTCTGCGGTCTTCGAGGGTACGGGGCCAGTTTTCGTTTTCGGAAAATTACGTCTCTGTGTGTGTGTGTGTACTCCTTAGTGCATCATTTGTGCTGATTTATCGACTACAGAAGAGCGAATTGTATAACGCGCGCGCGCGCGCGCACTTCGTTCGAGTGGTAGTGAACCTCGGCTCATTTTTTTGTTTTGTCGTCTATACACAATAACGATGATAATATCGTTCTCGAGTGCGAAAAAAATCTCATCGTTAAAGCCTGTTTTTATTAACACAATTATGCAAGCTTCGGTTGTGCGCGAGCTTTTCTCTATAATAAACGTATATATAGCTCTCGCACGTTTCTCGGTCTCTACAAAATCAGGTCAACTGTATATATTTCTCCAAATGAACGACGCGCTCGCTCGCTCGGCAGCAGCGGCGGCATTCGTACTTGAAAACGTGCGCGCAATTTCGAAACTGCCGCGTTCGCAGAGGCGCGCAAATCGTTATAATTTAATAAAAGCATTAGGAAATTAAAAGCTTCGTAAATTTTCCGACCGAAAACGCGCGCCGCGTGTCCTTGTGCGCCATCGAAGCTGCTGCTGCTGCTGCTCCGCTGGGGCATTTAGCATTTTTGTCCCATTTTGGTGCGACAGCGAAATGACTCTTTAACCCTAATGTGTCTCTCCATCTTTGCGATTGCAGGTAAAAATCCTGGTGCCAAACAGCACGGCGGGCATGATAATCGGCAAGGCCGGCAACTACATCAAGCAAATCAAGGAGGAGTCCGGCTCGTACGTGCAGATCTCGCAGAAGGCCAAGGACGTGTCGCTGCAGGAGCGCTGCATCACCGTGATAGGCGAGAAGGAGAACAATCGCAACGCCCTGCTGATGATCCTGGCCAAGGTGGCCGACGACCCGCAGAGCGGCACCTGCCTCAACGTCTCGTACGCCGACGTGAGCGGACCCGTGGCCAATTACAATCCCACGGGCAGCCCGTACGCCCAGACGCCCGCGACGACGCCGACCTACCCGACGGCCGCGGCCGCGGCGGCTGCCGGCCTCAACACAGGTATTGCTAATCGTGAGTTTTGCCCTCTTTTTCGTTCGTATCGTCCATCGTACATATAATTTATTATCAGTCTTCATTTTTACACATCATGAATAATAATCGTGGATCATTTTTTTTTGTTTTATTACACGTTTGTTTTTGTTTTTATTTTGGTTATTGCGTTTTGTTATTGTCATCGCCACACACACGTGTGTACACACAGCAGCCCAACGCCAACAATCGTGTATAAGTAAGAACACGCTGAGTTATGCAACGCAAAGTCCGTACTCGCGTGCAGTATTAGACTTGTGCGACTCCCAGAAAGGTTATTATTCTTCATATTATTTTTTTTAATTCTTTTCTTTCAATTTTTTGTTTTTTCTTCTTTAATAATAATAATGATAATGATAATGATAATGATAATGATAATGATGATGCGTGTGCAGTTGGAACTGGACACGCTCGTGCCATATAATACACAACAGACATGACGCGAAAACACGCGCCAACCGTAATCGATAGCCGTCGTCGTATGTATAATACACATTTAGGACGTATAAGGTACTGGTCTCGTTGTGTATACGCATGTAACGAGATCATAGCATATAAAGAAGCAGAGTTGCCCGAGAGAAGCACACACGCGTTGCGCCAGAGACTTTTGCTCGCTGGAGACTTTCGATAAGGCGACTCGCTCGCTCGGCTCGTTCGCTTTTTTTTTCTACTTTGTTCGGGCTTAATGAGCAGCGGAGCAACTGCAGCAGCGGTAGCCGCAACTCGCGCGCGTGTTTTGCCTGCATCGACAAAAACAGATTATTCCTAATCGGGACAATAACGATAACGATTCCTCCTCCTCTCGGATCTCTAGCCCGCGTAGTTTTCTATCTGGAGCGCGGACCGCGATATTTTTGACTCGATAATGTGCTGGCTGCTGCTTTTTTTAAATCTCCGTATAAGTGCATTTACGCATTATATTCTCGGCGACTGATTGCGAGTTCATTTTTTCTTTTCCGCCGCGATAAGAGATGAACATTTTGAAAGATGACACTCGACTTTGAAACTTACTCGTCAAAAACTTTTGGCATCGAACTTTTATACTGTAATACCTTCGTCGTGTACACTTACACACAGACACATACAGACGCGCGCAGATGTGTTACAGTTTACGTAAGAGAATTGTAACTCCAGCAGCAGCAGCGGCAGCAAAGTATAAAAGGAGAAATAGATAGAACGAGGCGACGGGGGAGAGATACCAATTTCCAAGTTGTTTGAAGAACTTTTGTATGGGTTTAAGTGGAAAACTAACGAACTTCTGTTGTGTGTCCCAAAGCGCGTGCGCTCGCGTTTATAATGTTTGCACGAGACATGGATTCAGTCGACGAAGAGGATAATTTTTACATTGTGCTGCTGAGTGAGACGTGTGTTCTTCGATCCTTAGCAGAGAGCCGAAAAGAGAGCGTCTATTTAGTCTAGAATATATGTGGGCCTTTCATTTACTTATCAAACTTTGCAGTCTATAACGGCGGAGCAAATAAAGCGCTAAAATCAGGGAGGGATGTGAAAAGCGTATACGTATACGTACACACGGACACACACAGCGGGGGATAGGATTTCAATCGTTGATTATTCCTCGAGCGATAGAACACACGCGGAGATAGAGAAGCCAAGAGTTTCGAGATTCGATTCGATCGAATTTTTTTACTTTTTTTTTTATCGCGCTAAAATTGAGTAGTGGATACGTACGTACACTAGTGTCCGTTTGATTCGGTACCCCCTTGCCGCCTACGGTAGCCGGCAAGGGGGTACCGAATCAAACGGACACTAGTGTACATACATTGCATAACCACCGTGTCTATAATACCACGTGAGACGTTGGTCAATTATTTTTTTTTTTTTTTAATATTTTTATCGCGTTTCGCGCATGATATTTAAACGCGATCTGCGCAGGCATCACAGAGCCTCGTACACACGATATTCCGCAGACAGGTTGAATATTGTTGTATATGAATGGAAAACGATTGTGTCGTTGCGCGCGCGTGTATCGTATGGTGCGTCATCGTGTCAATAATGCTTAGATACATACGGGGGGGACGGACACACCACAAAAGCAAATAAGCGGATATTTTCGTGCGCGATAATTTTATCTTTTGTAATTGGAAAGAGCGACTCTCTCGTTTAGGGCTAAAAAAAGGAACCAAGTTTCGTATACGGATACGGAAGAGAGACGAGCGCGCGCGTGTATGTATACTGCGTGGGAATGGACGTCCATCATGCTCATCCGTTTCACAGTTCCGATCGCGCGGAAGCATTACATGCGTGAATGTATGTCTGTCTCTCTCATGTGTGTGTATAAGTAGATACGATAATCGAGCCTTTTTCCTAATTTTCTCTCTCTCTCTCTCTCTCTCTCTCTCTTAGTTTGATGAACGAATCACTAATGGTTTTCTCGTTTCTCTGTTTTCCAACCAACAGCGGCGGTGAGCCTACTGAACGGCGCCGGCCTCAGCCTGAACCTGAACCTGGGAGCCGCCCTCACCGCGGCCGGCCAGCAGCCCACGACGACAGCCAGCCAGCTGCTCGAGCACATCAAGCTGAGCCTCCACAGCACGGGCTTCAACGAGCCCGCCGCCACGGAGATCCTCACCGCTGTGGCGACCCTCGTCAAGTACAACGTCCTCGGCATGGGCCTGGGCGGCATGCCCTCGGTCTCGTACCTGAGCGCCGCGGCGGCCAACAACGCGGCCCTTGAATCGGCCCAGTCGGCCGCTGCGGCGGCGGCTCAGGCGGCGGCCAACGTGGCCAACGGCACGAGCAGCAACGGAGGCGTGTTCGGGCCCATCGGCACGGTGCCCAACCTCGGCTCGTCGTCGCCGACGCCGCGCGCCACCCTCGACCGCTACGAGCCCTTCGACCCGTTTCGACAGAACAGCAACGCTGCCGCCGCAGCGGCCGCGGCGGCGGCCATCAACCTCAACAACAACAGCTTCGGCCTGGGCACGAATCAGCTGTCACTCGTAAGTAAGTCGCCGAGCGGCCAGGCGGCCGTCGACGCCGCAGCAGCAAGCGCAGCCGCGGCCGCCGCGGCAGCCGGCATCAAGGAGGGCAAGAAAGACATTAAGATTGCAGAGGTTATAGTGGGAGCAATATTGGGACCCGGCGGTCGGAATCTCGTTAAGATACAGCACCTCAGTGGCGCGAATATACAGATCTCGAAGAAGGGCGTCTTCGCCCCCGGTACAAGAGACCGCATCGTCACGATCACCGGCTATCCCGATGCCATCAGAACCGCTAACTACCTCATCGATCACCAGATCAGCGAGGAAGAGGCCAAACGAGCGCGCCACAATACCATTACTGGCATGATTCATTGATCGGAGCGCGTCGCTTCCATCGACGGCTAGTCGTCACCTCCTCCCTACTCGCAGGCCCCCGTCGCCGTCGCCGTCGCCGCCGCCACTCGCACCCCCTCGAGCAACAACGAACGACACCCCCCCGTCGAGAGAGAGGATCCCCGTGTCGTTGTCGCGTCAGTGCCGCTTTCCTCCCTCTCTCTGTCACTCTCTGAATTCTAATTACTTTTTTTCCTTCTGACTTGTCGCATTCGTCGTCCACATGTGTATACTTAAACTCGTCGCATCAACTAATAGTCGGCATGCTGCATTATCGTGTACACAAGCTCACGCTCTTTTTCTTCTGTTCTATTATACGCTTTTTTCTTATATCGTGTACTTCGCTGCGACGCTGCCGTCACCGTGTCGCAGCGACGCTTCTCTTTCTCTATCTCTCTCTCTCTGTAAGCGCAGTAGTCATCGCCGTCGATGCTGCTGGTCGCTTCCCCGCCCGCTATTCTCCGACTTGCGACTCTCTTTCTCCCTCTGCGGATTGTTTCCGAACGATCGCCGTTGACGCAATCGTCGACGAAAGAGAGGGAGGGCCAATTATTCAATTAGTTCGTCGTCGTCGATGTTATGTGCTTCGCTGCTTGTGTGCGCCGAACCGGAGGAGAGCCGATCTCTTTCGCTCTCTCCCTCGCGCGCACACGTCTTCGTTGAATCGACGTTGCGCAGCGCGCAACGGCAATCGGTTTCTCTTCTGTGATCCTCCATGGCGGAACGACGCAACAGACGGACAAACAAACGAAAAAAAGGCCAGAAAAGCATTCCGCACTTTCCATCGCGCTGCTTTCGCATCGTCATTATTTTCGCACGCGCATCGAAAGGACCGCTGTATAGTCCTTCCCGAGACACAAAAGCTTGTGCCAGAATATACGAGATAAACTAAAGCAACCATTTCGGTGTAACTTCAAACTGACATGAAATCAAATGTACGAACCTTCGTCGTTCTTCGTTATACCTTGTAGCAGCGGCTCTGCATCTTTGTATTTTGTTGAATTAATCATGCTGATCGTCGCGCGGGTGTATGCGTGTTTCTTAATTGCGTGCTTGGAAATTGACTCGTCTTTAAATAAAAAAAATTCACGTAAGCGCCTCGCACTCACTGACCTTCTCAACGATGTGTTCTCTAGAGTACCTATGTGCATCGTTTAAGCACGTAATGTTGTATATTATTTAAGAAAGTTTATAGAAAAAAAAAGACGAAGGGTCGGTCTCGAGACAGCCTTCGGAATGGACGAGTCAATTTTCGCGCGCAAGCTACACCGTTATACACTCGCGCACGATCCTCTGGTGTATGTTGACGCTGTAATGCACGCGCACTTCTGTCTCGTGGCTCTGTAGCCTGTGTGTTGTTCACAGACTTTTTGTGGCCGAAAGTCGCGCCTCCTCATTTTTAGTTTAAAACAATGCTCTCGTCGAAGGCTCGATTCTTTCTGTGTATATCGGCGAGCAAGAGAAGGAAATGGAAACGAAGTGGAGCGCGCGCCGCCTCCTCGATTGGCCGAGATGGTATATATAGTCAAAGAAACTAATCGCGTAAAAAAGTGCATGTACGAAATTCTGATCATAAAAACGAGGCGAAAGAGAGACCCCGACACCCGTCGTCACCTTATTCGCAGCATCACTATAGCGCCTGCATCGCAAATTACCCACTACAATTCTGCATCACCATTCATTTATCATCCATCACGGCTCGTTAAAACGATTTGATTCTTATTTCTTAAGAATGATTCATATATATATTACCATAAAATATTACATGTTATATATACATATTATATATAGAGAGAAATGATACAAAAAAGAGTATATATGAACGAGTATATACTACAATTGTTCTGTGATACACCACGTTACGGGGCTTTATCACAATATTATAAATATAATTATATACACGCGAGAAAAGACGTTCACCCGAGAACACACGTTATTAATATGATTATTAAATAATTATTAATTTTTACTAGTATCAATGTTTAAATAACATTATTACTATCATCATTATTATAAAACATGTTTATGAGAAGATATTTATAATTAATACTTGTTCGTTAAGTAAAAATCAGAGCATCATGAAAATGACTAACGAAAAGTAATTACGATGTATAGTAGTTGTATGGATACGAAGGGGGATAAAAAATAACGTAAATATTTATTTTAATCCAAAAAAGATGAGATCGTATGTATAGTTGTTATAACAATTCGAGCATATAGGGGTTGCAGTTAAACTGTCGCCCCGTTAGTAATTATAAATACAACACAATGGGAGGCTGCCGCGTGTGTGATATCATTTCAGAGACGCATCGATTTCTTCCCGAATTCAGAAGCAAAAAAAAAAAGAAAAGGAAAGAAAAAACAGAGTCGAGAGCATGTTCAGAATCAACGCACAGAGGCGTATGTGGTATGGTGTTGTGTGCGTTCGGTTTGTACAATCACGTCCACGTGACCTTCGCGAAGTTGTTAGATAAAATTGCGCGCATATACGCTATTATCTAATCGTTTTACAAGCTTCTCTCGTTTTTCTCACACATACACACAAACATTAACATTAAAAAAAAAGAAAGAAAAAAGTAAAAAAAATTAATATTGAACGCGGAAGAAATATATGACCGTCCCTCGAGTCCTACGCGACTGTTAACGGCCTCCCAAGAACTTTTGACTTGTCCGTCAGGGGAAAAGCAAAGAAAAAAATGAATTTGTAAAACATATTAATATATGTGTGTGTATATATGCATATATATATTAAATATATATATAACTAAAGAAATTGAATTAGAATATGGGGGATTTACGAGGCATTGTATACAGCATACTGAGTTCCTCAGAGAATACATGCGCAAAAGGAATTTTTTTTCTTGTTTAATAAAAGGGAAAAAATGTAATGCGAACGATTATATTATATATTATAGTACGAAAAAATCAAAAGAAAAGTCGATCAAGTTTGCAATCGCAGAACTGAAATAAATGGCTTTTAATGTAGATAAGAGCCGACATTTTTGAACGTTCCGTCGCTACGACACGATATATTCTTACCCATTTTCGGTCATTTTCATTCGAGAAACATTATTGTATATTATAAAAGAGTCAATCGCCGTTCATTGTAATACCAAAGATATATTCATTCTGTCATTAAAAAAAATTCGTATAGGCAAATCGAAGTATCGGCCCTCGTCGCTCGCTGCTCATAAAAAACATGTACATTATATTGTAACTCGTTGTTGTTTTACGCTATATCGATTGGGACTGGCTGGTCCGGTGCCGTCAAGAAATAATCATTCCGACGTTGAATATATATAATAATAAATATATATATACTATATTTATACGTGTCATGAAGTTCTCATGATAACAGACATATATATATAGAAAGATAGAGCTTTAGTTTCTTAATTTTTTAATTGTCCAAAGAATTTATTATCGTCGTGGATATAATACATTCATGAATTACGAACGGTAGACCGATATCGATTTGCTTATATTATATATGCGAAAAAAATTATATAAGATATATAAAAGCGCGCGAGCCACGAACGTTCAAAAAGTTGCGCGCATGGATACACTTGGGAAATAGGACAGAATTGACGCGATTCCAAAACGTGTCTTGGTTTAAGAAAACATTATTTTTTTGTTCTTCATCTTCTTTACAAAAAAGAAAAAGAAAAAATCGATCACTTACATACCACACACGCTACGCTCATCTCTCGCATACTTGTTAGATAAGGTATAAAATTGTTGTGTATGCGAAGATAATAAATAATGTTTATGAAAAAAAAAAAAATAAAGTAAAGTAAAAAATGTCAAAGAATCACGGCCACTTGCGATTGACACTCATTCTCACGTCGTCGTCGAACGAGACATTAAATTATTATATTATTTAGAAGAGAAATGCCACGTTTTTTCGAAAATACAAATACATGTGTAGATAGCGATATTATACGCCAATAGAAAGATAAAAAAAAATTAAAATCTATATACGTGTTTACTTATAATGTTTGATGAAAGGACACAGATGAAATGCCCAAGAACGTGGTTTCAGATAAAAAATTTATTATCGTATCTTGACAAACATTGACAAAAGAAATATTGTAAAAAGCGTCGTTTTTACAGTGTCACGACATTTTTTTCTCTTCTCATCGCCTATGTAATTAATTAACGATAATTATTCATTCATATATGAAAATATATGTGATGCATTGATCTTCAGTTTTCGAATCGATTATTACACAAATAAAATCAAATGAGCGAAAATGCGGGTGCATCGAGCCGTACAATAGAAGGAATAAATATTTCTGTACAGAGGGCAGGGGACAATTGTTGTGATAAGATCGGCAGCCTTTTTTACTAATTAAAAGTAGTGAAGGCATATATAATTGCAAATGTTGTGTTCATGCTCGCTTATATACGAGGTTCTTCCATCATTTATGGCTAGAGGACGTACTAAATCTTGCTCAAATGCGATTGTAACTCACTGTTAGGGAATATAGATATTGCAGTAGATGGAAATAATTTACAAGAAAATAATTAGGTACAACACACGAATTGAATCATGTCGATTTGCATCGTTAGCTAGTTAATAAACAAGTGAATGAAGACGAAACATTTTTTAGACACGGGAGCTTATATTCAGTCGCAAAATTAGGTTCATAAATTTCGTAGAGTTTCTCAATAAGTGCCGTACACTCAAACATAATAATGTAACAAACGCCGCAACCGGTATAAAAATGATATTAGCTTCACCATATAAAAATGTACATTAACAGCTGAAACTGGACAAATATTACCGCATAACACATCGTGTACTTGTGTTATGAAATGACAGAAAAAATATACGAATGTAAAAAAAGCTGCGCGAGTTGGTCAACTTTACTAGCTTATAAATGTAAGGAAACAAAATAAAAACCACGAGCGAATTCGCGCGTTTTACATTGTAAAGCGATAATTAAACCGATCTTCGTGTAATTGCATAGAGAAACATTAATATACGTACGACATAAAAAAACACGTATTTTAAAATCAAACGATGAGAATGATACGTGGTCAGGCCTTTTCATTCTCTATCTCTCTCTCTTTCTCTCTCTCAGCTAGTGCGTTGAGAGACAAATTATGCATAATACCCGTGAGTCACTGCTACGTGAAGTAGTTTACAGAGAAATCGTAAGATGAAAAACTTACTGGCGGCTTGTAGCCTGCTTGCTCATGCCTCTATGCATAAAATGCATAATTTTCTCTCTCTTTCTCTATAGTACACGCGTAAATACACGTATACAACACACACGAGCTCAATTACAATCTTGAATTTACGCCTAGAAAAAATAACTTCAATGACTTTCATTGCCAGTCGGTGGTGATCAATTAATGTGTATTCAAGGATAGTCGCGTTTGATTATGTATCTCTTCGTGCGTGCTCAAACGTCGTTAGTTATGTAAAAATTAGCCAAGAGAGCGGGCAGATTCGATTCCAAACTCAACGTTCGTATGCGATAGCCGCCTACTGATAATGGGTTTAATTTTACCGATAACACTCGGGTGATTGCCCAAAGCGAGCGCAAAATTCAAGTCAAACGACGTCGAGACAACACGGCGAATGCGATCGAAGCGATAGAAAAAAAACGAGCCGGCAAAGAGTCACGACTTTTCTATAAGCGCACACGTATGTACACGCGCGTGATGAGAAGGTGCAGCGCTCGCGTGGCGCGCGGCAAGGTCAAATTTTCACGCGCGCGCGGCTCCAATGCGATTCCGCGCGCTCGCGTAATATGCAATCGCGCGGATTATAGCGTGAAATGACTAAAACCATCGAGCAGCAACGCGAGAAACAAAACAAAAACGAGTAAACGGACGGAAAATGATGGTCGTGCGCGTTTCTTCTTTAATTTCGATTACGCATCTTACGGATATCTTCTCTGCAATCGCTTTTGTATTTAAATACGAGTGCGGGTAATAAAGTCTGGAGAGGAGTCGGTTGCGACGAATAATAAACGTCTCTGGCTCGCGCGAGGCCTTGGAACGCCATTGGCTGCGGCGTTCGTTGCGCGGAATATCAGCGTCGATCGCTCGAGAAAAACGAGCTTATAGCTGCTGGCCCATGACGCGAGAGATGCAGCCAACGAGAGAAACATTTTCTCTGTCTCTTTCTCTCTTTCTCGGCCTCCACATATGCGCGCGTATTAATTTGTTCTCGCGTTCGAGAACATATTTTTATGCCGACCGATAGACGACTCGGGCTCTCGCTGCTCGACACAGCTGAATTTCTGCAGGCGCCAACGCGCGACGAGTGCGCATATGTATTATTTCTTATACGAACGATACTTCGTTATCGCACCTCCTCGAAGCGTATATTGCGATAATACACCGCATAAGGTGCATAACCACGTTCATCCACGTGTATATGCTCATACACACTCGCTCTCACATAAACACACACACAAACACGTTGTCGATAAATACACAGCTCGTTTATCTGTAATAAAATTTTAGTAGTGTCGCGAACGTATATTCGTGGATTTCGTTTTTTTTTTATGCACGAGTAACAATTATAATGACGTTGACGATGATGATACTCGTGGAAAAATAAAAAAAAAAGGCAACAAACGTCGAACGCATTGTGCGAGGTTTTTGCGGTATGCACGACAGAAAACGTGCCGAAACAAACGAAAAGAAATTTAGCCGATGATAATAATGACATGAATAGATTTATCTAAAGTATACGCTGTACATTCCTTTTTTTTTGTCGAATTAACGAACGTTAAAGTATAAAACAAGTAACTATAAATAATTGCTTTAAAAAGTAAATTCAGTAAATAGAATGTGTATATAAAGTACCTTAACGCCAGCTGTGATGGAATATAAGAATGGAAAAGCGAATGACGGCAAAGGAACGCGATAATTTATGAATAAGAAACAAATGTTCAGAGCATTATTATTGCGATTCTTTTCTGCCATTTCGAAAGATAATAATGTATAAAAAAAATATTAACTATAGTATATATTTATTAACAATGAAATTAAATTTTAAAGACGAATCCTTGAAGAATTGTATAAAAATCAAAAGGGCTTACAATACTAAAAAAAAACCAAAACAAAAAATTACGAACAGTACGATAGCAAAATTATTATTTTGTGCAGGGTATTAGGACAGACCACTCCAGACTAGCAACGTCGAGCAAGGGCAAGGAGTAATCGCTCCGTGTGGATTTTAATGGGAGAAAAGCCGACGATCGTTTCGGAAAGAGTAAAAGAAAGATGCATGTCTGCCAAAGTATATTCTTCGTGCATCAGCTTTCATAGAAATACGAATCTGTTATTTTAATTTTTTTTGTTTTTTTTTTTCTTCATTTTTTCTTCCTCTGCAAAAAGTAATTATGTTTTTCTTCCGTATAATATGAAATCTCCAAGCGAGCACGAGCAGCTTCTCTCTCTCCTACTCTCACTTTCTCTTATTCTCTCTCTCTATTTCTCTATTACCACTAAATATATTTATATAAAATATATAACTACAGCTATGTAACTAATACTACATATAGATTTAAATATTCTATGTGTAAAAAGAAAGATTTATTTAAATTTTGTTACCGGAAAAAGTCGAATACTGCGCCAATTAATCAAGTGTTCAAAATGTTTGTTTAAGCTAGAGTTACCATCACATGTTTTGTACAGAATTTCAAAGATTTATTTATCAAGTAAACGAAAATAATGTATTCGGCCTTTTCATCAAAGTAATTTTTGCGTAGCCATTGTAGTTGAGAATTTAGATGGAAGACATAAACGCGCCGTTCTCGATTTTAAGTGATAATTTATTGATATATTTAAGTGCTCGTTGATTGTCCGTTTGTACGGCAAGATATATAATTATAATGATTATATATAGTTATTAGTCCAAATATGTTGTATGGAATAGATCAATACGATTATGAAATAATTCAAATGCCAATCGTTTATCGTGCTGTGAACATGAAAAGAGCGCAATGCAGACGAGCAAAGCTTTAGGTGCGCTAGCACGCATCTTGATTGTTTTCTTTTTTTTCCTTATTAATTTAATAATTGTAACACTAATCCAGCTCGATATAAGTAATGGTACTGTAATACCATAGAAAAACTTTGCAATCAAAAAAGAAAAAAAAATACGTAGTTAATATTATAGAATTATATGAGATTGTTGAAATATTCGTTCAATGATTTTTCATGCGCAGGACCGATCAAGGTGATATTTCAGATCATTATTATCGTTCGCCAAAGAATTGCAAAAACAGCACTTGAGATACGCGATGTACGAATGTTACCTAATCCAAATGCGCGTCATTAAATTATACATAAATAAATATATATGCTAAATATTTAAAAGAAAATGGAAAGAGTAACAGAGTCATGAGAATAATTATAGAAAAATTCTATAAATATATATATACTTATATATATATGAGGTTATGAAAGATATAGTTATTATATTGAATTAAATGATAATTATAAATACTGTTGAAAAAAATTGCGCATCGTAAGCGCATTAGACGAAGCGAAAGGTTCGGCTGTGCGTGCTACATTATTACCATTGTACAAGCTAAATTACATCATGTGAAAAATTCATTATACACCATCACCGCACCATGTATAAAATATCATCTACTTTACACACTATCGTTATTGTAAAACACAAATATATACCATCATCGTGTAATTATTAATATAATTATTATTTTTTATTTTATATTTCGCGTGGTTCATTGTCATTATTTACTATAATTATTGTTATTCGCAAGGAAGATATATGTTCGGTAAAGAACAGACGCACGGCTGTGATGGA